CTGTGGATATTGTTGGGGAGGATGGAGATCTTGGGAGATGACGTAAGAGGGGTATTCTGAAGAAGATGAGAGGCCAGACACTACCTTTTGATTCTTCCCACTGTAAAAAGAAAAAGAAATTATATTTTAAAAATTGAGGGACAATTGGAGGGATGGAGGACTTTCAAGACTTAGCTGTATTCCAAGCCTTTCAAGACTTAGCTGTATTCCAAGCTAATAAATTTGATAAATTGTTGAGGTGGGGTCGCAATTGCTATGAGGATTTTTTTTGAGCTTGTTTATTTATGACAGGGGTAGGCAAACTTTCCCCTTTAAGGGCTGAGGGACTTCAGCTCCCAGAAGCCTCAGACATGTTGGCCAATAGTCCCATGTTGGCCAATAGCTCCTGGGATTCTGGGAGCTGAAGTCCCTCGGCCCTTAAAGGGGAAAGGTTGCCTACACCTGATTTACAAGCACTGTGCATTTCCTGTTGTCCTTTTGTATAATAACCTAGTCTTGTGTATGAACTAATTCTTGGGCAATAAGGGCCCAAACTGTGAAAAATCATTTTAAAATGCACCCAAATTCTTTTAGTCTCACCCCACAGGAGAAAACTATTGAAACTATTTGCTCTTCCATGGAGGGATGAAATAAGCAAAAATTTACATTGTGTTGGCCCCTTTTATGGTCATCTACTTGCCCCCAAACCCCTGGCAGGACAAATTTTGAGTCTTCCTTGCTAAAACAGCCAGGTGGAAGGGACAGGAAAACCAACATCTACATGATTATTTCACATATTCTCTTTCTTCTCAGAGGGAGTACCACACTTTTCCGGTTGCAACCTAGCACCTCTGGATGCAAGTCACTGATTTGTTGCCAAAGTAAAACCTGCCATGCAACATTTTGCAGAGCCTTCTATTATTATCTATTTCCAAACTCAAAGTACACTCACAACTTTTCAAACTGCACTGCATACAAATGACCATACCTTTTGTGATTCTGTTCTTCAATGCAGATAGTCTCAGTATGTCACAAGAAAGTATGAGTCTCCCACAGGAAATATATTTTATAT